GGGGTTAGGGTTTAGGGTTTGGGGTGGAAGATTTCGGGTTAAGGGTTGAGGGTTTTGGAGGCCTTGTCAACGGCGGATCTGGCGGAGATCTTGGACTGCTCATCCACCAACGTCCGCTTGGCCTTGGGCACGATCCCTGAACCCTAAACCCTAGGGTTTAGGGTTTAGGGTTTTAGGGTTTAGGGCTTTAGGGTTTTAGGGTTTAGGGTTTTTGGGCTTAGGGTTTAGGGTTCAGGGTGTTTGGGGTTTAGGGTACCCTAAACCCTAAACTCCCTTGCGGCCTCGTAGACTTCGGGCCCCTCGAGATGGCAGCCCTCCGCCTCCTGGAGGAGGGTTTCTCGGGTTTTAGGGTTTAGGGTTATGAGGCGGTTAGGGTTCAGGGTTCAGGGTTTGGGGTTTAGGGTTTAGCGTTTAGGGTCTAGGGTTTAGGGTTTAGGGCTTTGGGATTTTAGGTCTTGGGACTTGGTGGTTTTCAGGTTTGAGGGTTTTTTGTGTTTGAGGGCTTTGGGGTTTTGGGGTTTGAGGTTCTTACTAGTAGGGTGTTGGGCTGAGAGCTTAGGGTTTACGGAGAGGTTGAGGGTTTAAGCAGCGATTGGCACACTTGCACGCGGACTTTCCAAGGACAGACACAAGGCCCGGAGCCCTAAACCCTAAACCGTATACCCTAACCCTAAACCCTAAACAGTATACCCTGAACCCTGAACCCTAAACCGTGTATCCCCTAAACGCTAAACCGTATACCCTAAACCCAAAACCCAAAACCCTAAATATCAGCGCGGGGCGGCGCCTGCAGTGCCGCCTGCAGCTGCTGCACCTCCATACATCAAGGGACGCAAGGGGTTTAGGGGGCTACCCGAGGGTTTAGGGCTTTAGGGCTTTAGGGCTTTAGGGCTTTAGGGCTTTAGGGCTTTAGGGCTTTAGGGCTTTAGGGCTTTATGAAGCGGTCGTCGGACGATCCAGGCGAGACAGACGCACGGATCCCTGCTCCAGGCTTTAGGGGTTTAGGGCTAGGGGTTTAGGGGTTGAGGGGTCTAGGAGCTTAGGGGCTTAGGGGCTTAGGGGCTTAGGGGTTTAGTGGTTTAGGGTTTAGGGTCCGTAGCCGTGAGCATGGATGCAGGCTTGTTTTGCAGAGACCGCCTGCCGCGACTTGGTAGCCTTCTGGAGCGCCACTCCTCCACACGGCAGAGCGGTGATCCATCAGAAGCTCCATAGGGTTTCGTGGTAGCCCAGAAACCATCATATGATGAGGGTCTAGGGTTTAGGGATTTGAGGCTTTGGGGTTGGTTATTATATATGGGAAACTATATCCCAACAAAAGGCCAAAGGGCACCACTGGGCTACTAGGGCTTGTAAGAGCGTAGGTGTTTAGGCATCTCGCACGGCACTGACCCCCAATTCCTGACCTCCACTGTCTGTAGCCCTTCAATCCCCTCCCCCTATTAAACCCCCCGTACCCCCTAATATTAAAATCCCCCAAAATACTATTATAATATAACTATAATGGGGGTTTTAATATTAGGGGGTAGGGGGTTTAATATTGGGGGGAGGGGATTAAACAGACCCCACGCATGCAACTCTCTAGGAATCAAGCTTGTCGTCGCCTGAGTTGGACTTCGGATCATGCGGGCTTGAAGGTGGACCTCCTCCAATAGCTTAGTGCCAAGTCTGCTGTTGCGTTTTGTGAGGCTATCCTGACCAGAGCCCTAAACCCTGGCCCTAAATACTAAACTCACTCAACCCTAAACCCCACACCCCTCAAGCCACAACCTTTGAAAGCGCCAAATCCCGAGGCCCGCAAACCCTTGCAAAGCCTTCAGACCCTTAAACCCTAGACACACCCTCAACCCTAACCACCCCCACACCCTAAACCCGGAAACACCTCAAAGCCCAAAACACCCAACAACATGTAAACTTCCCTAAACCCTAGAAATTCTAGAAACCCTAGAAACCCTGAACCCTTCACTTTTTTAGGTCCAGGGGCGCGCGTCCGCCCTACGGCGCTCCAGCGAAAGGGCTTCCCTTTCACGGCCGGGGCTGCTTCGGGTTGGATCCGTTTTTAATGCTTAGTGTTTAGGGGTTTAGTGTTTTCGGGCTTTAGGGTCCTAGGGTTCTTTGGTTTTAAGGTACTGGGGCTGTAAGGGGTTCTGGAATTCTAGGGTTTAGGGATTTCGGGATCTAGGGAAGCAGGGGTTAGGGTTCATATTGTTGGGCTTAGGGAGCTCGAGGATTCTATCTTGTTTGCACAAGCAACTCCCAAGAACTCCCAAGTAGGGCAAGCAGGGAGAACCCTCAATCCTCAACCCTCAACCCTCGGCCCTAAACCTGAAAACTCTGAAGCTGAAACTTCTGAACCTGAAAACACTGAACCCTTCACTCTGAATTCAAGCCCTAAACCCCAAACCCTAAAAAAACCCCAAACCCTAAACCCCAAACCCTAAACCCCAAACCCTAAACCCTAAACCCCAAACCCTAACCCCAAACCCTAAACCCAAAAACCCCCCTGCACCTGATCTCGGCCAGCTCCTCCTCGGCGAGCCCGGCACGCTCACCCTGACAACGCGAAAGGGGCAGCTTTTGGATGAACCGTTCATATATCCTGCAGTAGGGTTTGGAGTTTAGGGTACTAGTGTATTATGGTATTAGGGTTTAGGTTTTAGGGTTGAACCGTTGAACCCTTGTAAGCCGTTTTAACCCTGATAAAACCTTACAAACCCTCTAAACCTTAAACACCCTTAAACACCCTTAAAAGCTTCAACCCTTCAACCCCTGAACCCACGGCGTCGGTTTGGGTTTTGGGTTGAAGGGCTTCGTCATCGGTTTGGGCTTTGAGCGTTTAGGGTCGAGGGCCTGCGGAATTTACCGGAGACAGGCGTGAATCCAAGAAGAGTGTACGTCTAAACCAACCTCAAACATTAAGCCCTGACGCCTTGAGCTTAGACCTTTTGAACCCTGCAATCCGAATAGATCCTTAATCCCTCATAACCCTTGACCCCTTCATACTAAACCCTTCACTCTTAACTGCACACTGCACCTCGGACAGCGCGGCAGCCATGAGATTAACGTCCTCCCAAAAAGAAAGGTCGAGGGCTTAGAGGTTTGGGCCCCAACCATGTTCGGGGTCAATGATTTAAGGCTCGGGCTGTTGCGAGGGTGTGCACGTGCGCGCATGCGCATATGGACGGGTTCGCAGGCATTTGTAAGGAAAGCGTACAAGCAAGGACAGGCCCAAGCACTTGACTTGTGTTCTTGCATTGGCCGATCCCGGTCTTGCTTTGACCCAATCTGTTACCCCCCCGCCCTACAACCCGAGCCGCCCAAAAAATCTGGATTTCAGGCGCTAGCCGATGGGGTGAGTCCCAAAACCCAAAACCCCAAAACACAAAACCCCCAAACCCCAAAACCCCCAAAACCCCAAAACCCCAAAACCCTAAACCCCAAAACCCTAAACCTAAACCCTAAACCCGAAACCCTAAACCCTAAATCAACTTGCGTGGGCCTTCAGGCGCAGGGGCTCGACCAGGCCCTGCCCACAGGGATGCTGGGAAAAGAGGGGCTTCGTAGGGTTTAGGGTTTAGGGTTTAGGGCTTAGTGTTTAGGGATGCTGGGAAAAGAGGGGCTTCGAGGGTTTGTCAGGGCTACCAGAAAATCCAACCCGGATCCCTCAACTAGAAACACCGAAAACCGATTCGGTTTGGGGTTTGGGGTTTGGGGTTTGGGGTTTGGGGTTTGGGGTTTGGGGTTTAGGGTTTAGGGTTTAGGGTTTAGGGTTTAGGGTTTAGGGTTTAGGGCTTAGGGCTTAGGGCTTAGGGCTTCGGCTCATAGGCTTATAGGGCACCCTAAACATCGAATTGAAACCCTTGAGCCATGCTTCGAGGGTGCCTTGGCCTTTAGCGTTGAAGGCTTCCGAAAGCTTGAAATTTGCAGAGTTTAGGGTTTAGGGTTTAGGGCCTTTAGGGTTTAGGGTTTAGGGGTTAGGGTTTAGGGTTTAGGGTGTAGGGAGCCGCTGACAAGCTTTGCGAGCAGAGAACAAGGGCGGAGCATGCGTGTTTAGGGTTTGGAGTGTAGAAATGTCTGTGCAACCCTAAACCCGCTCGACCCGAAACCCTAAACCCGAAACCCGCACCCCAAAACCCTAAGCCCTATAAACCCGAAAACCTAGAGCCTAAGCCCGAAACCCTAACCCAGAGTTGAGTCGCCTCCCTCGCTGCCACTTTTCGCTGCTCTTCCCTGAGGGCGCGCCTGATCAGGGGCCCAAGGGGGATTCTGGATACTAGTTTAGGGTTTAGGGTTTAGGGCTTAGGACTGGTTTAGGGTTGTGGGGTTCAGGGTTTAGGGTTGTAGGGTTGTAGGGTTTTAGGGTTGTAGGGTTGTAGGTTATGGGGTTGTAGGGTTGCAGGGTTTGGCGGGGCTGGGGAATGCTGTGCCTTCAAGACAGCAGTCTCATGCAAAAATCTGGGCCAACTTGGGACTGTGAACAGGAATGCCCTCAGCATGTGCCTTGCAGGCTCCATCTCCTCTGGTGCAAGACCTGGTGTGGCGAGAACCAGGATGGGCTATTATAGCTATTACACCTTATAATGGCTGTTATAGCTATTGTACCTTATAATGGCTATTTGCTATTATACCTTATAATAGCTATTATAGCTATAGCTATTATACCTTATTAATCCCTTGAAAAGGCCTTTAGAGGGTTGATTATGGGGATTATAAGGCCTCATAGCCCATCCTGGAAAGGTACCAGGTGATCAGGGTAGGACGAACAGCCACGGGGAAGCCAGGAAGGATGTCAAGATTCAAACCGTCACAGAATGGCGCAGGGATGACTCTTTTTGTTGGCGCGTAAGCACACTTGAGCGTCGATGTCTTTGGCTCGACCAGCATCGGAAGCTTTGGAGCTCTTGGGCCAAGCAGAGCTCTTGGACAAACGCAAGCACTACCTTTGGTGCATGCGCAGGCGGGTGCATTAACAAACTCGGCGAGTCACATCTTGCGATCTCACCTCAAGTTTTGGAAAGCCTCTCGTAAAGCACAAGGTACTCTGGATAGATCTGATCCTTGTCGTACACGATGATCTCCCTGTAAGGTTTGCCCAATGTCTTCACCCGGTCGCCAAAGACCGAATGGTAAGGACCGTCGAAGACCTCTTTCTTCAGACGTTCCTTGTCGATCTCGTTCGTCTCGACAACCTCGGAGGCATGAAACGTAGTGGGAATGAATGCTCTGACACGCTATTCATGTTCAACCGCAGTATTGCCGATGATAGCTCTTCAAGATTCGTCTACATCCGGCTAGGAGCAGCCATCACACTTCCAACGAAGTACTATCACAAAACAGGATCACTTACCAAGCTGGGGCTGCCCAGAGTCGCCAAAAACCCTACATCCCGACATCCTGTTCTCCTCTGGTTTACTGGTTTAGAGGTTTTGAGGGTTTAGGGCTGAGGGTTCACCCCCCCACCCACCCCCCCCCCCCCCACCCAAAGCTTCAAGCTCGAGGCGCATTGGCGCGGCCGCCGACGCAGCGCACCACCAGCAGGGCGTGCAGCCCGGCCTCCTCCTCCCCCTCGGGCAGAGGATCGGCGTACTCATCCGACTTGGTGACCATCTCCTTGGCGGCTTCCAACTTTTTAGGCTTTTTCAGCAAGCCTGGGAATAAAAAATGGCCAAGGCATCTAGGATCCCCCCAAAAGAGGGGGTTAGGTTTTAGGGGTGAGGGTTTAGGGTTGTGGGTTGAGACCTCCAGGTGGCGTGAACAGTCACAAGCTGGCTGTCAGGCCAGAATGCAACACCCTAAAGCTGTGCGCTGACAAAACGCGCGCCCTCATTGCTTTTCAGAAGCCTCGTTCTGCACCTGTCAGTATCTGAGTTTCCATCAAACTGCATTCCCTTTCATGCAATTCTCGAGCTGGAGCACTTGCCAAGCCAGGTCACGCGTTCAAACTTCCGCAAGTCAGCCGAAGCCCCTCGAAATTGTGGTTCGAAGTTTGAACCCTAAACTGTAGGGTTTAGGGCTTAGGGTTGGTTTAGGGGCGACCCCCCCTAAACACCCCTAAGCCCCCACCTAACCCCCCCTAAACCCCCAAAACCCCCCCAAAACCCCCCCAAAAGCCCCCCCAAAACCCCCCAAAACCCTCGCAACCCGGCGTCGGCCAGGTAGATCCCGAAGCCATAGAGCGGGGAGCCCTTGGCTTCGCCAGGCTCCTTCCAGGTGGCGCCGGTGCCTCTGCGCGGGACGCCGGCAGATTTAGTAGGGTTTGTTAGGGTTTATAGGATTTCTAGGGCTTGTGGGGTTTCTAGAGTTTGTAGGGATTCTAGGGTTTGGTGGGGTTTGTGGTGCTTCTAAGGTTGGGTTTAGAGGATTAGAGGGTTTCTAGTAGGGTTTAGATGGTTTAGAGGCTTTTGTAGGCAAGGATTTCCTAAGTCCTGTGACTAATTTAGAGTCGAGAGAAGCACATCTGAGCCCCCTGACTTCTTACCTTCCCCAAAAGTTTACCCTACAGTAGTCCTATCAGATCCCTACTTGAAACCTACGTTTTAGGGGGGGGGTTTCTACATACTTGAGTCTTGGCTCAGCTTTTCTTTTAGAGTGCATGGGCGTTTCGGGTGCGTAGTGAATGTGATACAAGTATTGAAAATGCGCAGGCTCCTAGTTATATCAGTGTAGGGCTTGGGGGTGATGCAGGTCTACTATTTGCTTAAGAAGCCCCCCCCAAAAAAAAAACAATGAAAATAATAATCAATAATCATCCTATATTACCCTGATAAGGATTGCTATATTACCCTTATAACGATTTTTAAATATCTTATTGGGGGGGGTTCTAGAGCAATTAGTAGAGGTGTGGGACCCTGGCCTCAAAAACTGAGCTCCAGATTTTCTTTGTAAGAGCCGGAGCATTTTCGGGGTCAGGGTTATAGGGTTCTAGGGTTATGCGGTAGAGGGTTTGGGGCCAGAGGGCTTAGAGCTTAGGGGGCTTCGGGTTGAGGACTTCGGTTTCAAGGTGGTGCGTGAACCTGCGCTACTGCAATTGGTTCAGGGTATTGGGTAGTTCAGGGCTTATAGGGTGTAGGCGCGCGCGCATGTAAGCCACGTTTGGAGAGTTGCCGTGCTGAACAACCCTACACCAAAACCTGATTCCTGCACGCCCGAATCCCTTGCACGCCCGAATCCCTTATCAGCCTCAACCCTTGAATCCTAAAATGCCCTGGCCCCCTGAAATGCCTTTCAACCTTAAAATGCTTAAATGCCACCAAAAACCCTGAACCCCTAAACCCTAAACTCTAAAATGCCTTCAAACCTCCATAATGCCCTAAAATACCCTCATGAGAACCCTGCCTGAAAGAGCCAGGCGAAAGTTGCTCCCGCAAATTCCGCGCGAGGCGTCGACGTTCGTGCCATGGAAGAGCCGCCACTCGTTGCAGGTCGCAGACATGCTGGCTTCGACCTTTTTTAGGGTTTAGGGTTTAGGGCGCGTTTACGGTGCAAAAATTTAAGGGGGTTATGTTATATATGACAAGAGGGGCTTAGGGTGTAGGCTTTAGGGTAGGCTTTAGGGATTCTAGGGTTTGGGGTTTAGGGATTGGGGTTTGGGGTGGATTCGACCTGTACGTCCGCATGCACGGAGATAGGCGTGAAGTGCGAGTCCTCGCCGCACTCGCTGCTGATGGAGTTTCGCATCAAAACCTCGGATTTCTGTGATGAACATGGATTTCTTGGTGTAGCCTGTGTGGAGAAGTGCCCAGGCATTTTGCCTCGTTTATCTTACAGAACCCTGAACCGCCACTTTTGGGGACCAAACGCAAACGACAGTAGCTGGCAGATATTCGGCCGGAGAGCATAATGCTTCCACAGGTCCAAGTTCTGGTTCCGGAAAACCTGCGGGAAGACGAGCCAGCAGAATTGTGCGACAGGTAGCTCACACTGCTGGATTGCTCCTCTAGCCTCTTGCCTCGTCTACTTGGAGGCTGATGAGTGCATATCAATAAAGGTACGGCTTAGATGGCCTAAAGCTGAGCCTAGACCCTAAACCCAAGCCCTACCTCTACAAGTACCCAGAAGTATCTATTAAAGCAACCTCCTCACCCTCCACAATATTGTTCTCGAATCTGCAAAAAGCATGCTACAGCATGCTGCTGAAGCACGAATATAGCGCAATGGGATTTCAGGGTTTAGGGTTGGGGTTTAGGGAGGGGTTTAGGTTAAGGATTTGAGGGAGAAGCCTTCTTATTTACAAGAACTTTCAGGGTTCAGGGTGAAGGATTTGAGGGAGAAGCCTTCTTGACGGCGAAGCCCTTGGGAACTCGGTGGCCATTCTTCCGGAGGCATGCGGCGTCGCACCTTCCCAGGCCACGGACACTTAGCCTATCTTGGTAGCTCTTTTACCCCCCAAATGAAAGCTTAACTTTAGCTCCCTTAATATGAAATTAGCCAAAACTTATAAAGTGATAAAGTTGTAGTAAAGTCCCACCTAGCTATTGGCTGTCCAGCCTCATATGAACCCTGGCTTTTCATCGGTTTGAAGGGCTACCCCAAACCCTAAACCCTAAACCCTAAACCCCAAACCCTAAACCCTAAACGAGCTTGCCGAGCTTTAGGCCGTGCAGCTCTGGGTGGCTCCGACCATGAAGGGAGCAGCCGCGATCACGGGTCCAGTTGTCGCTCGTCTTGTGGCTCTGGTTGAAGAGCTCCTGTTTTAGGGTTTAGGGTTTAGGGCTTCGGGTTCAGGGTTTAGGGTTTAGGGCTCGTCTTGTGGCTCCGGTTGAAGAGCTCGTGCGACCCAGTTAGGTTCCTAGAACCCTTAGAACCCTTAAGGCCTCAATTAGTAGGCCCCTGGGAGTCTAGGGTTCCGTTACTTTTTTCAACTGGTGTGTTAAGACATTCGCGGCTAAGGTTCCGAAAGCGCAAGTAGCTTCGGTGAAACTCCAGTCCTGCATCCGGCTAAGAACATCGGCGTCTTCAACGTTGACCAGCCCATTCAGCAGAGAGCCGTCATCTGCAGTTTGCCAATGCTTCAGCGCATCTTCTCCGACAGAAAACACATCCGCGATGGACCTGCCGGTTCTTACACAAGGTTTAGGGTTTAAGGTTTAGGGTTTAGGGTTCAGGGTTGAGGGTTTAGGATTTAGGGTTTAATTAAGGTTTCGGGTTTAGGGTTTAGGGTTTGGGAGGCCTTAGCCCTTGGAGGGTACATTGGATCTCCTGTTCATAGGGAGTGGGGCTCGTATCAAAAGACGCCTCATTGTCAGGAAGCCCTCACATGGAATGGATCGTCCTAAACCCTAAACCCATCCAGGTCGACCTCGCCTGTGCGCACTCTCTTTGTGGCCACACTCGCAGAGTCTTCCGGCCGCCACGGCGGAAAACTCGGCACAACCTGTGTTACTTGGGATGTTCCCCCTTATACTAACAGTCCTTAATAGGGTTTAGGGTTTAGGGTTACTATAATCCCTCTTAAGGACTGTTAGTATACGGGGGAACATCCCAATGTATGAAACCCATCGTTTGTCACCGGATCCTGGTACCTTTACCATTGAAAGGTGTCCGTGGGCTTCTGGCCACAAGTACCCTTCGAGGTTCGCGACGCAGCTCACCCTGAGGCCTCGCATCCGAAACCCTGAAACCGCAACACTAAACCCTCGGGTTTAGGGTTGAAGGCTTAGGGTTTAAGATTTAGGGTTTAGGCTCAACGCTAAACCCACTGCCACAATTCTTCCGGGTAGCTGCACGACGTGTCGTCGTCCTCGCGGCTGCGAAACCTCCAGAACGGACCAGATGTGTCAACGTTACGGTGATGGCGCTGGTACAACCCTAAATCCCTACATGTACTCAAAACCTTCAACTTGGACCCATTGACACTGTAACCTTATGAGCAGATCTCTTCATCATCTACCACTTGCTTAAGAACGCCAAACATTATAAACACTAAGTAAAATAAAAAGAAAAAACATGTCCTTCTTTATAAGGGTAATAGAGGGACTATTGCTTTGTATTCTTGGGGGGGTTCTTATAAGCAAATAGTAGGAGTGGGTATGCAAGGAGCTGGCAGGGCCGCGACTGGCCAGCCTCGCTGAGTCCTGATAGGCGCTGGGCTTAGCATGTAGGGTTTAGGGTTTAGGGTTTAGGGTTTAGGGGTTTAGGGGTTTAGGGGTTTAGGGGTTTAGGGGTTTAGGGGTTTAGGGGTTTAGGGGTTTAGGGGTTTAGGGGTTTAGGGTTTCGGGTTTCGGTGAAACCCTAAATCCTACACCCTGAAACCCTGAAGCCCTGCAACTCTGAAGCCCTGAAACCCTGAAACCATAAACCCTGAGCCCTGACCCTAGGTTGCTCCAATCTGTGGCGCCGAGCGAAGGCTCCGCCCTTAGGACCCCAACTGCCGAGAACCGCCAATGCCTACCGCCACCCCTGTAGGGAACTTTGGGGTTTAGGGGGTTTGGGGTTTCGGGTTTTGGGTGTAGGGTTTGGAGTTTGGGGCTTCAGGTTTCGGAGTTTTGGGTTGGAAGTGCTCTCACCGAACACAATCTTATCCAACGAACGCAACTCTCATCGAACGACACACTCAGGACGCCATTGCAACCAACTGGCAAAAGTCTGGAATTCAGAAGAAACCCAAGTTTGACAATCCCAAGCGCTGAGGCGTAAACCGCTCAAGATTCTCAAGCCGCATCCCAAAGAGATGCAACATTCTTTTACATTTGAATTCCAGATTCCAGACCCCAAATTGCCCTTAAAGAGCTGCAAACACCAACGCTGTAAAGCCTATAGAGCCTGACACATCGAACCCTGTTCTTCGAACAGCCTCCCTCCCCGGGGGCCTATCGGCAACGTGCAGTGCTGCGAAGCCCAACTCGCAAAGCGCGAGAAGTTGACGTAGCCTCGCCATTTCGGTACAGGAACTCCCCAGCTTTTCATTGTGGGCTTAGGGTTTCAAGTCTTGCAGTCCTAGAACCTATATAAGCCCTAAAGCCTGCGGCCGCCCACGCTAGAGGGGGGGGGGGGGGGCGGGGCCGGTACCACTGAACGCTACCGTTTCGAGATCTGCTTGCGTTGCCAAAGCAGGTCGAGCCTACCACGCCTGATGCATCCCTGCTACAGCAACATGATGAAGTTACCCTTAAACCCAGTGGGGGAGCAGGACACTAAGAAACCCTGCGTACGACCACCCGCCGGAAAGCCGGGAGCCGTTGCTTGCGACCCCGGCCCCGGCGACCTTGGCGGGGGAGGCTTGGCCGGAAAGCTGTTGCTTGCGACACCCCGGCTGTGGAGTTGCGGCGGGAGAGAAGCCTCCCAAGATTGCGAACGACCACGGTGAAAAAGGCCCAAAATCTGTTGTCGGCCCGGCGAGGGAGACCCGTTTACGGCCCTTTACAAGGGGGCCCTTTGTAAGGATGCTCTTTACAGGGGAGGCTCTTTACAAGCCTTGCGGAGGGCGCCCCTGGAGTTGGGGAAAAAATGCTGGCTCCAGTACGACTGGCTGCTTACAAGGAGGCCCTTGCGCAGGACCTCAGGAAATGCCCCCTTCACTCTCAAATTTTCCCGCCACCTCGTGGTGGGGGAGGCCCGGCCCGAGAAGCCCGTGCATGCGACCCCCCTCGGCCGGGCGGTCCGGGCCAAGAAGCCGCCCCTTTCGCGCGATTCGGGGGAAGCGCGGCTCGCACCAAAACAGCCCAGAGGGAAGAACCAAAACCAAACGTCTAGTTGGCGGCTTGGGGAGAGAAAATAGGGAAAATGGCCAAGCGACCGGTGGCCGTGCCGCCTGCAGCCTCCCACTCGCCATCCACTTCCGAGCCTGCCAGCTGGGCACCACGGGTTTAGGGGTTTAGGGGCTTAGAGGTTTAAGGGCTTAGGGTTTAATATAAGAGTTTTGGGTTTACGGGTTTCGGGGTTTAAGCGTCTAGGGGGCTTGGGCAACCCCACAACAGGAGCCTTGGCAAACTTAGTTTTGGACCATCAACTTGAACCTGAAGCCCCTTACCGAAGACGAGCCCGAAACTGCCGCTCCCAGATGCCTTCAAAACCCTAAACCCTATAAACCCTAAGAATGTCCCATAAAAAAAAGGCCGTGCCCCCTGGCGCTCCTGCGTTGTCCTTGCTGCAGTACTCGAAGGTTTGCGCAAACTCTTCCTGCAGAGTTGGCCCCGCACCCCAGACTGCCCTATTTGGGTTTACGAAAATAGGGGCACCCTCTTTGGGTGTTCCTAGAATAAGGATTCTTGTATGTGGGGTATATTTTAGGGGTACCCATATTTTGCGCTTACGAAACTAGGGGACCCCCAAAATAGATCCCCAAATAGTAGGATTCCCTGATAATACGGACCTTAAAACGGTGCCCCTAATTTCCCAAATTCGGGTTTAGAGTTTACGAGTTCATTATAGGGTACTTAAGGGAGGGGGGTTCCACGCGGCGTAAGTAGGGAGTATTTGGGGGTTACATACCACCCTTGAACCCCCCTCTCAACACTCTAATAAGTTTAGGGCTTCAAGTGTGGGAGGAACTACCGGACACCTGTCTGTCCATTCGGGTGTAGGGTTGAGGGCTTTATGCTGAGGAACTGCAAACAAGCTGCCATATGAAGGCCATTAGTACATAAGATGGCACCCTTCTGTTAAGTTTCCTAACGAGAGTCCAGTGGAGCGGGGTATAAGGCCTGAAGCCCCCTGTAAACCGCCGATAAGCCATGTTGCTCTTGCTGCTCATATCATTCCTTTCCCTTCCTTCCCCCCCTTCCCCCCACTTCGCTTCCTTCCTGTAAAGGAAGGAAGGGAAAGGGAGGGAAGGTGTGGAAGGGAAGGAAGCTGAATATGATCCACTTAATTTATTCCAAATAAAGGTAGAAAATGTCCCAAGGGCCTTCCGAGGAAGCTTGAGCAGATTGCACTGTTCAAGCCGAGGCCAGCGTTCAGAGGTGACAGACAAACCTCTGCAAACCCGAAAAAGCCCTAATTAAACCCTTAACCCGAAGTCCTAAACCCCAAGCCCTAAAGAGTCAGGCGACAACCCTCACGGCGTTTTACCCTGCGAAGGCCCCCTCTCAGCTCTAAACAAACTGCAAACCGTGGGCCTTCTGCAGGTAGCCGGATTCCTCCAGGCTGGCAAGGTGGCAGCGAGAAAGTTCGAGTTTGGGAGTTGCAACTTTCGGGATCCTTGCCCTACCTGCACGGGTGCTTCGTAGGGAGTTTAAGGAATTTGAGTGCCTCATGTCCCCCCATAGACTGCCCCTTTATGGGATTACAATAGGGTGCTACCTCCCTCTTCCCCTACTCGGAGCCAGCAAGCAAGCCCCAAGGCCCTAAACCCCCCCGAGACCCTGAACCTCCTGCAGTTCGTTTAGGGTTTAGGGTTTAGGGTTTAGGGTTTAGGGTTTAGGGTTTAGGGTTTAGGGTTTAGGGTTTAGGGTTTAGGGTTTAGGGTTTAGGGTTTAGGGTTTAGGGTTTAGGGTTTAGGGCCCGAGGCCCAACTCTGACCTCCCATACTAGAGACCCTGGTCCCTAACCCCTAAACCCTCAACCCTGAACCCTAAACCCTCAACCCTGAACCCTAACTCTCAACCCGCCTCCTAAGTTCGGGGCTCAGGGTTTACTGGGGTTCAAGGGGCTTCGGGGTTTCAGCTTTTCAGGGATGATGGGGTTGCGACAAGGACGTTTGCGTAATGATGATTATGTCAGGTGAGTGGTTGTCCCCATGCCGTGGCAGGATGTAAGGGGCTGTTGTCTTGCACTGGCCGGTGCTTGCCATTGTGCTTTGTGCTTTTGGGTTTTCCGGAGCGCCCAAGGGCGACAGCACGTGTTCCCAAGTAACGAGTTCAGACCCGCTCTCCACCCCTCCACCCCACCCCCCCTCTTCCCCGAAGCCGAGCGTTAGTCAGACCGAAATCCGAGGGCTGCAGCTTGACGTGCTTCGAGCAGGTATAGGAAGCCCTATGGAGAAAGGAGACCCAATCCCTCAAACACTACAAACCTCAACGCTTCCCACAAAACCCGAGATGCTCCTCAGGATCGTGGAAGTCGAAAAGCTGCAGTAGGGTCTCCTTGGCAACAGTACGCTTTTTGGGGTGTGCTTACGTTTGTAAGGCAAACCCCAAACCCTCGACCCCCTATAGAACCTTAGAACCCAAGAGGGTCAAAAAGGGAAACCGTAAACCCTAAAACCCTAAAACCCTAAAACCCTAAAACCCTAAAACCCTAAAACCCTAAAACCCTAAAACCCTAAAACCCTAAAACCCTAAAACCCTAAAACCCTAAAACCCTAAAACCCTAAAACCTAAAACCCTAAAAACCTAAAACCCTAAAACCCTAAAACCCTAAAACCCTAAAACCCTAAAACCCTAAAACCCTAAAACCCTAAAACCCTAAAACCCTAAAACCCTAAAACCCTAAAACCCTAAAACCCTAAAACCCTAAACCCTAAACCCTAAACCCTAAATCCCTAGAACCTCTGAACCCAAAAAGGGCAAAAAGGCACCACTGGGCCACCCAGTCTCGAACTGCGGGCGATGGCTGCCAAACTTCACCAGGCCCTGGGAAGGGGTTCAGGGGTTTAGGGGTTTAGGGGTTTAGGGGTTTAGGGGTTAAGGGTTTAAGGGTTTAAGGGTTTATGGCTTCAGGGTTTTTAGGGGTTGAGGGGTTTAGGGGTTTAGGGTTTTCGGGGTCAAGGTTTTAGGGCTTTTGGGTTTTCAGGGTTTTAGGAATTTAGGGGGTTGTGGTTTCAGGGTTTCAGGGTTGAACGGCTTACGGCCCTAGGGCTTCAAGTTGTCTACTATTTGCTCAAGAACTCCCCCCCCCCCCCCCCCCCCCCTCCCCCGAAAAAAAATACATATAAAAACTTTCACATGGTCTTCCTGAAAACGGTCATTTCGGGACTATTATCTTGTATGTTTGGGGGGTTCTTAAGCAAATAGTACTTGTTCAGGACTTCAAAGTTCAGGGTCCTCAAGCCGAAGCCCCCGGAACGCCCCTCCATCTCAACCTGGCGCAGTTTTTTGGAAGCCCTGAAACCCGAAACCCTAAACCCCAAGCCCCAAAACCCTAAACCCTACTAAACCCTAGCCCTAAACCCTAAACCCTAAACCCTAAACCCTAAATCCCAAACCCTAAACCCCAAGCCGCCGGCCTTGCGGTAGTTCCGATCTCCGGGGTGCGCGTACCTTTCCAGGTGGGCAGTGCTCCGCCGGTAGCAGCCGGCGCCGAAGCCTCGGAGAAAGCAGGGTTTAGGGTTTAGGGTTTGGGGTTTGGGGTTTGGGGTTTGGGGTTTGGGGTTTAGGGTTTAGGGTTTAAGGTTTAGGGTTTAGGGCTTAATTAGGGTTTAGGGTTTAGGGTTTAGGGTTTAGGGTTTAGGGTTTAGGGTTTAGGGTTTAGGGTTTAGGGTTTAGGGTTTAGGGTTTAGGGTTTAGGGTTCATAATTTAGGGTTTAGGGTTTAGGGTTTAGGGTTTAGGGTTTAGGTTTCAGGGTGCAGGGCTAGGGTTTGGTTTTGGGACTGATATCACGAACGCGCAATGTTCAGAGGGACTTGTTCCCTAAACCCTAAACCCTAAACCCCAAACCCTAAACTCCCGAAAAAAGTATCCGCGGGCATGAACGTAGGCTCTCAACGTCGATCAACCCAGGATTCCTTCTTGAACAGGTCTGGACTCCGGCTTATACTGGGTTCTTGTTCTTGAACCCAAGTAAAACACCCTAAACCCTAAACCCTAAACCCTAAACCCTAAACTACTATACTAAGGGTAGTGTAACCTAACATTCTTCTGGCAGCTTAACTTGTTCCTTAACCAGAATCTGGCATACGAGTCAGAGTTTTCGCCTTGGGATGCTCTAGGGGTTTTAGGGTTTAGTGGGGATTTAGGGCTTAGCGGAAAAGATTTCTGAGTTTTTGTTGCAGCACTGGCGGGCGGTTGAACGTCGGAGCCTAGCGGTCTGGAACAAATGCGGAACCCCCGAAGGATCTGATGCTCCCCCACCCCCCGCCTCCACCGACCCACCCACCCCACCCCGCCCCACCCCACCCCACCCCAGCCCACCCAACCCCCCCCCCCCCCCCCGAACCGAAGCAAACAGGATACAAAAAACAGTATATCAACAGCACAGATACACCGCAAAACAACTAGCACCCAAACAACCCACCCACCCCCCACGCCAGAAAAGAAAAGCGCGACAAGCCAAACAACCCAACAAACTCCCCTAAACTCCCAACCCCGGTATACCCCAAACTCAAGAAACCTACACACCTCACAAACACTCAAGCCTAAGCACCCCTAATCCCTGAACTGAAAAGCCTTCCCTCACTCAGCAACCCCCCCTCCCGCCCCCTCAACAAAGAGGAAACATCCAAGACTTCCCTAAACCCTAAACACCCCAAATCCCCCACAATTTTGGAGGGCTAGGTGTAGGGTTTAGGGTTTAGGGTTAGGGCGGCTAGGGTTTAGGGTTTAGGGTTTAGAGCCGAGGGTTTTGGCTTAAATTCCTAAACCCGGGCGGCCAGGGCGCGGCAGGCCTCACGCCGGCAGTCCCGCTTGGCGGGGTCGGCAGGGTGCCTCTGCCCAGGGGCTTTAAGGGGTTTTAAGGGGGGTTTTCGGGCTTTAGGGCTCCTCTAAACCCCTCAGACCCTAAAAACCCTCAAGCCTTAACATCTTTAAGGGGGCTTTAAGGGGTTTTAGGGGGTTTAGGGGCTTAGATTTGGGGGTTTAGGGGATTTGATTAGGGGTTTGAGGTTTTGGGGGCTTAGGGTGTATATAAGATGGATTTAGGGCTTTAGGGGCTTTAGGGGTTTCGGGGTTTTGGGCTTTCAGCTTTAGATGGGTTTAGGGGTTTGGGGGCTTTAGGCTTCTAGGGCTTCGGGCCGACCGGGGTTTCTAGGGCATGGAGCCGGTTTGGGGGTGCTTAGGGCCTACAGCAGCTTGTAGGGGGCTTTCTAGGGGCTTCGGGTCCAAGGGAGAAGCCTCGTCCTGAACCCTGTACCTTGCCACACTCTGAACCTTTTTTTGGGGTTTAGGGTTTAGGGTTTAGATCAAACCTGGGTAATACCACTGAAAGCCGAGAGACCCGGCCCCGAAACATGTTTCGGCAGCAGAGATCCTGCCACGTAAATCCCCCAAATCTGCGTCCTCACCAAAAACGAAAGTCTCATCCCCACAGGCCCTGAGTCAAAATAACCCCCACCCCCGAAGGCCCCTGGATCACGAATCGAGCATCCTAAAATCTTGAACCACTCCCACCCACCCCCCAAACCCCAAACCCCAAAACCCAAATCCCCAAATCCCCAAACCCCCCAAACCCCCAACCCTAAACCCTGAACCCCAAACCCTGGGAGCCACAAAGCCGCCCTGCACCCGAGCCGCCAGTATTTTCGTCGGTGGGCCGGCTTGCGGTTGTAGCAGCCCCTGCGTCGCAGGGAGCGCTATTTAAGGGTTTAGGGTTTAGTGTTTAGGGTTTCGGGTTTAAGGTTTAGAGGGGATTTAAGGCTTGGGGTTGAGAGTTAAGGTTCAGGGTGTTGGGGTTTTGGGTTTCTAGAGGGTCTTGTATTGTACGGGTTCTGGAATGCTTCAATCAGTACTCTGTTGTCCAAAATTTTGATTTGCAATAAGAACCGTCCTTTTTGGTTTACAGGGGATTATAAAGGGACCTAAACCCTACAAAATGGAATAAGGGCCCACTCTGGGTCCTAGCCCTAAACCCGAAACCCTAAACCCTAAACCCTAAAACTTGAACCCAACAAGGGCCAACTGTGGGTCCCAAAAATCCCAGAAAGGAAGCAAACCCACGAATGAGAACGACCCTGGCTGGGCCCCCAGACTTCCCATAGCGGCAGGGGTCCTTGGATGTGCGCAGAGGCTTAAGCTGTGGGTTCTTTGTGGGGTATACACAGGGTTTACAGGGTATACACACACCCATATATTACTTAGGGTTTAAAGGGTTTATGGGGTTTATGGGGTTTATAGGGTATATAGGGTATATGTACACACATATATATATATAGATATAGATGTATTATTTATACTTATCTATAAAGGGTTTATAGGGTGTGCAAGGTCTATAGGGCGATGCTTGTAGGCCTTGCAGGGTTAATTGGGCTTGTAGGGTTTAAAATATGGCTTGTAGGGCTTACGGTTTGTACTGTAGGGTTTGCAGGCTTTAGGCCCTCAGATAGCTTAAGCTGGGGCGTGATAAATTAACGTCAAGAGGGGGATAGACTGGCATCTAGCATGGATTGCTGCATGTAACATAAATCCGACAAACGCTACGTAAGCGGCAGCCCTACATAAACCCTACAAACATATGATCAATATAAAGACCCTACAACATCCCTATAAACCCTGGCACATACACCCTACAAAAGCCCACACTCTGTCACGAGACCATCCCAAAACTCTCCCTAAACCCAAAACCCCTAGAATCCTAAACCCTAAACCTAAACCCTAAGCCCTAAACCCTAAACCTGAACCCCAAGCCCTATATCCCTAAACCCCTAAACCGCTGCCCCCCTAAACCCCCAAACTCTGCCCCGGGACTCCTATAGTACTCCTGAACCCCTAAACCCTAAACCCCAAACCCTAAACCCTATTAAAGCATCCTGCTCCCAAACCCAGGGGCCATCCCGGGCGGGCACGAGGCCGCCAGGCTCTCCCCTGCTGCCTCGAGCTCCCGGCTGTCGGCACCTCGGAGAGGTCGACTTTAGGAGCTGTAGGGTTTAGGGTTCAGGGTTCAGGGTTTAGGGTTTAGGGGTTTAGGGTTTGGGGTTGTTTTGGTGGTTTGAGGTTTTTTTGTTGGGCTTTCTTGGGGTTTCTGTAGGGATTTTGGAGGGTTTGGGGTAGTCTGGGGTTTGGGGTAGTCTGGGGTTTAGGGTAGTTTGGGGTTGAGGGTCGGTTGCGGGGCTAGGGTCGTTTGGGGTTGAGGGTAGGTTGGGGTAGTTTGGGGTTTGGGCAGCTTTTGGTTCAGGGTTTAGGGTTTAGGCTAGCTTGGGGTTGAGGGCCCTCAGCCCGAAAGACCCTGAACCCTAAAGACCCTAAACACGAAAGACACTAGACCCTAAACTTGGGATGTTCCCCTTATCCTAATAGTCTTTCATAGGGACTATAAAGGGGGGGGGGGAGGGTACTATAATCTCTATTTACGACAGTTAGTCTAAGGGGGAACCCGAACCCCTAAACCCCAAACCCCAATCCCGAAACCCTATACCCTAAACCCTAAACCCCAAACCCTAAACCCTAACCCTAAACCCTCAACTCCTGGGCTAAGGCCCTCACTCCCATAGAGCCATTTCACGAACTCCTCGAACTGGATCATGCCGTCACCGTTCATGTCGGCGAGCCTTGAGCTTAGGGGTTTTGGGGGTTTTAGGGGTTCAGGGGTTTTCGGAGTTTTTGGCTTGAGGGGGTTTAGGGTTGTTGGGGTTTAGGGGGTTTAGGGTTGAGGGGTTTTGGGGTTTAAGGCTTCTCAGGGTTCAGTGTCCAGTAACTTTAAGGGTAGCATGTGGGGGGGGGAGGACTCTGTAACATCGGGGCCGGTTGAACTTTTTTGGGTATCCTATTCCATGTAAGGCCCCGAAATTATAGAAGGATCCCCTGGATGGAGCATATTTTTGTAGAACCTCCGATGCCAGTTCTGCAGAGCATGCAGGCTTTTACGCAGGTGCGGCGTGGGCTCGCATCACCTTTATGCACCCCTGAAACGTCTTCCCCCTCCCCGCCGAAAGTGGCAGTGTAGTGCCTTGGACCCCCACCCCCCCCCCCCCCAAAAAAAAACAAAAAACACACACACACACACACACACACACACACACACACACACACACACACACACACACACACGCTCACACTCACACTCACACTCACACTCACACTCACACTCACACTCACACTCACACAGACAGAGACACAAAACCCTAAACCCTGAACACCCTAAACACCTTAACAACCTGAAAACCCTAAAAACCCTAAAAACCCTGAACAGTCATAAGCCTGCACCCAAGGGGCTGAATGAACTCATTGATTTCGCCATCGCCTTGGCCAGGAGGGCTTTGGTTCCCTAATTGCTTTTAAGGTTTAGGGTTTAGGGCTTAGGGCTTAACTAGGGCAATCTTCTTTCTTATGAGGGCAATATAGGGATTATTATTTCTCATTTTCTAAGGGTTCTTAGGCAAACATTAGTGAACCCTAAACCCCAAAGGGCCCCGGAACCTGCCAAGCACGTGATCTCAGGAAGGGAATGAGGGGAATTGGGGCACCTCATATCCCCTTTTATATACCCTTGAAGAGATGAAATAGGGAAACCTAAACCCAAAACCCGAAACCCTAAACCCAAAACCCTAAACCCTAAACCCTGACCTCACGCTGAGAACCAGTAGGGTCTCTGCACGGTTTCTGAGACCTTGGCCCCACTTGGCTCCATCCAACGCGGACAGCAAGAGCTCAAGCTCCTCGTTTAGGGCTTAGGGTTTAGGGTTTAGGGTCTAGGGTTTAGGGTTTAGGGTTTAGGGTGCTTTGAACTTCTGGGGTTTGTTGATGCTAACGCCCTACCAATTGACCCGCGGGTTTTGCTTGTTTTCAGGTCTTTTGGAGTTGTTGCCATGTGTCTTCAGGTCTTTTCGCGTTGTTGCCGCATGTCTTCCGGCGTTTCTTTGGAGTTCGTGCCAGATGGGTGGGGGGGGGGGGTGGGGATAAGAACGTCATTCATATTGCATGCATGCCCAAAACACTGGTATTTACAGCGTTTTCACCTCTTTGTACAACATACTGCACAAGGATGTGGAAGAAGAAAATCTGAGCCCAAACCTGTCCTGCACCCTCAAGCCTTCATTTACCACCCCAACCACTGCAAGCCCAAAGAAAGCCAGTAGCCATTCCAGCCTCAGCCCGAATCTCAACAGCACCCCTTAACCCGTAACCCTAAACCCTCAACCCCAAACCCTCAACCCTAAACCCTAAACCCTAAACCCTGTACCCTAAACCCTAAACCCGAAACCCTAAGCCCTCAACCCTAAACCCTAAACCCTAAACCCTAAACCCTAAACCCTATCAACCCTAAACCCTATAAACCCTAAGCCCTGCAACCCAAACCCAAAACATCGCCTCGCGAGCTTACAGAAGCTGGTTGAGGGTTTAGGGTTTAGGGTCTGCAGGATTTTCGGACCTAAGAGCTTGAGAAGCGAAGGGCTTTGGGGCTTAAGTGCTCAGTAGTCTCTATAGGAAAGGCTTCAGGGCTTTAAGCCATGAAGCCCTAAACCCGAAACCCTAAACCCTCAAACCCTAAACCCTAAACCCTTGACCCTAAACCCTAAACCCTACACCCCAGGCCCTCAACCCTAAACCCGAAGCAGTGCAAGCCCAAACGTGTCATGCACCCTCAATCCTCAACCCAAAGCACCAAGCAGTGTAAGCCAGAAGTGTCATGCACACTCAATCCTCAAACCAAAGCCCGAAGCAGTGCAAGACCAGAAGTGCCCTGCACTCTGAACTTTCTACAAAACACCGAAACGCTAGCACCGCTCGAGAAAAAACACATTTTTCAATCGGCAGCACTATGACGTTTTCAAGGAACCACATACGAATGCCATTTTTCTCCTGTCTCAAAAGGATTCCCCAGAACAGACCTTGTCAAACCCAACTGCGCGTTTTTCCGAGGAAAAAATACCATTCTGCCCTGTCCTTCCCCACACGCCCCCCCCAAAAAAAAAACAACTAAGCCCCGGAAGCTCCGGAGACGCTACTTTAACTTAAAAAATAAAAAAACCCATTTTATCCGCAAACCCGTGAAAACCTGTTTACGCGCGACCCTGACATGTAACACCAAAACGTGCTTTTCGCCTGGGAAAAACCACTAAGAAAAGGCTTCCCACAACCGCAAACTCGACAAAACATTCGCTCCAAACGTTCGGACGGTGCGCGACATTGGCCCCTGCTATCGAAACAATGTCATGCAGAAATCGTGCTTTTACCTCGACAAAACTAACAAAACAACCCAAAAAACCAGCCTGCTACGGCGCGGGTCGTTTCGCGGGGCGTTACCTTGTTGATGGATATACGGCTTGTGGCATTTATCGCTCAAGGCTTCTGATAAAC